ACACACACACACACACACACACACACACACACACACACACACGCTCGCACGCTACTATATAAACAGACTCATCAAGTGCAGCCTTATTGTTCAGTATCTGATCTGAATTGATTATTGGCAGGGCAAGATAAAACTGTAGCGTGTAAGGTGTTCCTGGTTCCATTCTTCTTCCATGTGTTTTAATGAGAGAGCTGAAGGCTTTACTAGCTTTACTGCTCCCCCTCAGCCAGAACCTGGTCTCCAGAACCCATTCATCTGGGCCGTCAATCTGAATGTGTGGCTCAGCACCCCACTGGCATTTTAGAGATGAAGATGCCGTTTATTTCAGAACAGTGCTGCTGCTGTTGATGTTTTTTTTTCTACTGTTTTTATTTAATGTACTCACAGCTTCATTGAATAATGTATGTGTGTGCATTTTCTTATTTACCATGTGTCCTCTGTGCCAATCAGACGGCAGGTTTCCAGGAAACACTGACAGAGCTGGAGATCTTAGCTCTTATTGTAGGTTGTGTGTGCCACGATTTGGACCACAGGGGCACCAACAATGCTTTTCAGGCCAAGTAAGTGTACCCGATTTTCTTCTTCTGTTGCTGCAGAACACACCAAACACACACAGACACACACACTGCCTCTCACAAACTGTCTATAGTGGGGTTTTCTGGATGCAGCAGTCTGCAGTAATCCAGCTCAGATCAGCAGAAGTCAAGTGGGATGTTGTTTAGGGCTTAAATGAGACACTGTTTAAGGAAGAGACTATAGATGCTGCATTTGGTTTATCAGATAAAACTGTTTTTTAGCCACTTAAAAGTCAAGTATTTGTCTTTCTCAGAGATTATTAAGCTCATTCTAAAAGCAAAATCAAAACAAATTATGAATAAATAATCTGATCTAGCAAAGCTTTATTCGACTCAGTTGTGTAGCAACAATTTAAAGGTTAAAAAATGTTTACATAAACAGCTTTAAAATACTGGTTTTTTTTTTTCATTTTCCTCTTGGACTAGCCTGTAGATCATAACTCTTATCTGAATTAAACTATTCAACTTGAGGTAGTCTAAAGCCATCTACAACTGGTAAGATGTTGATTGTTAATATTCTTATGACAGGTCACTTCAAAAGATTATTACTATGTCTTGAAATACACCACTCCCATATAAAAAAAGGGTTTTTTAAGTTATTGACCATCAGTGCTTCATATTTTTGGCTTTGGTGCGTTTATTATGAGTCTCAAGCTTCTTTTATTATTGAGTCATAAACTGCAAACAGAGTGAACTGTGGGGGAATCACAACAGACTTTGTTCCTCAGATTGTGTTGAAAATTGATTATGCTATCCTCCTTTGTTAATCCTAATGTGTGTGTTCTGTCTTGTGTGTGTGTGTGTGTGGCAGGACGGGCTCAGCCCTCGCTCTGCTTTATGGGACCTCTGCTACACTGGAGCACCACCACTTTAACCACGCTGTTATGATCCTGCAGAGCGAGGTGTGTTATGTTCTAATATCTGCTGCAATGCAGTTACTGTTCACTTTCTTCCGATGCTTAGCTTTGTATGTTGTAGCTGCTGTTCAGCACATTTTTTTTTATGTGATTACAAACACCGCTGGCAGCCGAGCCTTCGACCTCTGTCACTCTTGGAGACAACATATTGTTGAAACTGCAGCTGAAACAAGTGAATCGACAGTATATCTATTCAGCAAAAACTGAACTTTACATCATTTACTGGACAGTTGTTGCTTTAGACTGCATTCATTTTACGTTGTAGCTAAGCACATATACACTGGTATCTACAGCAGGTAAAATAAGTATTGAACACGTCACCATTTTTCTCAGTAAATATATTACTAGAGGTGCTAATGACATGAAATTTTCACCAGATG